TTCTACAAAAGATCTTGACGATTGAAGCAAGTGATCAAATACGTTACCGCCAAGTGTGGCTTGGCTGCACTCAACAAAACTCAAGGCCAGCAGTGGCTTCCTGATAAAACCGGTCAACCCACAAAATTGAGGGTTGGTCGGTTTTATCCAGGAAAATTTGAGCGACATATAACCGTCTAACCCTCACAGTTTCATTAAAAGCAATTTTTAAAGGAAAAAAGTTTTACGGATTTTCGGTAAAGTGTTTTTATAGGTGTTTAGAGCATTGATTTATCGTTAGACGCCTTTGTTTTGAAATAAAACAGTTTTTTCCTTCTCCTGTAAAATTTACCTTGCTGGGGTTAGTTGGTTTTATCACAAGGCCGACGATATATGTCAATGATTAAGATATTGGCTTATTTTTTACAGCATATTTAATTATTTATTTGCATACCAAGGTACAGTCGGTAGAGATGGGCGGGAAGCGCTTTTTCCTTCCCGAGCAAGAAGACCGAGAAGCTGACCTACTTCTCGCCGGGACCGGTCCTGGGAACGTAAAATACTTCCCGTCTCGTGTATCGAGTAGTGCTTCTCGTCTCGTGACCAATTTCTCTTCTCTCCCCGTAGTTCGAGCCACTCGTTCAGCGAGAAGGCCGACCGTGGTCGAGATATCTCTTCTCGCCCCACAGTACGAGCAACTCGTTTAGCGGGAGTGCCGGGGATCTAAACTTAGAAACTAGGCTTGCCCTGTTGCGCAGGCGGTGAAGGAAGGTAGGGAGACCTAGGCCTAGGCCCTGATCAACTCCCCACTCGCCTTGTCTCGCCACCCTCTTCAGTTTCACACTCAGGACGGCGCGGTGATGGGTGGCACTGTCTGCGTTGTCATTTCTCGCCTCTCGCTCTCTAACTCTCATTACTGTTACTCGTTATGTCAAGCCAACGAGCAGTATCACGTCTCGGTACAGAGCAGTAGTTTAGTGCTCGGGCAGCGACGGGAAGGGCGTTTCTCACAAGAAACGAGTACTCGGCTCGTCTCGTGCCCGCCCCTAACAGTCGAACCTGCCATGATGGCCACCTGTATAATACAGCCACCTGTACAAACGGCCACTTTCCATTTCCCTCCTTGCGTTTTAAAAATATGATTTTAACTGTGTAAAACGGTCACCTGTCCTACGTGGCCACCTTATTTTCTTAACCCACAGTCAAATTTACCTGCCTCAGGCGACCAGGCGTGGTCACTCATTGCCCGACGCTTTGTAAAAAATTTTGAATCGGCCCCTCACACTCTGGACAGGCCGTCATGGTCATAATTCATTCACCTGTCTTTATTGTTAGTCCCTCTAATGAATATTTACCGAAGTTGACCAATGGGTAGGCCTAACAATAAATTTTCAACTGCTGATGAGGTTAGCGGGATCCGTCATAACCTATAACTATAAGTAAGCCCTGCCAACAACTCATGCACAAATCGTGTGTGAGGTGACTGGTTACTATTTTGTTTTCCTAATCTGTAACAAAGTAACAATGGATGGACGTTGACGTGAACTTGCAGCGAAGCATCACTGGTTCTCTGAGTGGTGGCGACGCTTGTGTTTGTTTTACCATGGCACTCAGACTTCATCGTCTTACTTACATAATATTTAGTTTATTTTACCCTTGCTCAAAATCAGTAACAAAAAGAAAGCTAACAAAAAAAACCCCAACAGAACCAACAAAACAGCAACACAAAAAACCCTTCTTACCCCGCCCACCCCCCTTGCTCAAAAGAAACCAAAAACGCTTTTGAATTAGCCTTATGGCAGTCAGTTTGAGACCTGAGATCAGCCCCGGTGTGGACCTCGGGAGAGAATGATTTGCTTTCTTCATTTTGATCAGTCCTGCCGAAGACGACCACCTGTGTTTTACGGCTACTTTTCTCCTTGACAAACTGGTGGCCGTTTTACATAGGATTGACTGTATTGAGATTACTTAAGGGATTGGGGGGGCTACACCTGAAGGCTATCTCGCTTATTAGTGGACCGAATTTTACAACATTTCACACATATAACAAGCATAGTTAGGAGTCTTAAAATCCCCAATCAAATTTGAGAAAAAAGTTTTGTTTCCATGGATACAGCGGCCATATTGGATTTTGTTGACATGTCTTACGTAATGAATACCGCACTTACTGCTCTTAGAAATTGATTGGTTTTTTGTGTGCATCTTCACAAACATTAGATCTAAAAATTTGTGTTGTTTTTTTCTAAAACGAATTAGAAAATTTTTAATGAATTTTTTCCTGAGGTAGTTTTCAAGTTTGCAAAAAAATCCATGAAAATCCACACTCAAGGCACCACCAACAAAAGTCTATTTCTTATATCAAAAATTCAACTGATAAATTTTTAGTATTACATCTTCTCTTCATTCTGTGAAAATGTTGTGAAGATTGGATGAAAAATGGTGGAGTTATTACAAAATATAATAGAGAAAAGTTGCGTTTTGAGGAAACGGCCGAGAAAGAAAAATAAAATTTGACTTTATGAGGAAATGGTGTTGACAAACTTGCCCAGTATGGGAAGAAATGAGGTTTTTGGGGGTTCTTTTGCGATGAAATAGTTGTAGGAGAGGTTGAGGAAGCTAAAAATGCCTACAACTCAAATTCCATACAATACCATGTATAAATGCGTTCTACTGTTACATAAATATTGCTGATTTGGGGATTTCTTAAATTGTTTTTTTTGGTAACTTCTTGGTTCAGCATTTTTTATAACTGTTCCATGCTGAAATGGGCATTAAAATTGTATATGTATTATAATGACAAACTCTTTTTCTTTAATTTCAGTTCTCTCCCTCCGCCATATTGTTGGCTGCTGTAAAGTTTCATGTATCACACTGTCTCATTGGGGAATCACCACCAGTTTCCGTAGGTTTGGCCAGCCCGCTTCACAAACGCATCCCCACCTTATTGCAGAAGGGGAGGTAACTCCGGGCATAACGCGTGCGGAATATCATCAGAGGAGATGCAAACTTGTGCAGGCAGCCGTGAAAACTTTCAGGGGGGTTAAATCTGTGAAAGACCATTTGTTCATTTTTCCATCTTCTACAACGAGCTACATGACAAATGATATCCCTTATCCTTTCAGACAGAATACTGATTTCCTGTATTTTTCTGGATTTCTGGAGCCAGATAGCCTTCTTTTGATTGAAGCAAATCATAAATCTGTGGATGGGGCTCATGTGTCACATTTGTTTGTTCCTCGGAGAGATCCGTCTCGAGAATTGTGGGATGGGCCAAGGTCAGGGACAGATGGTGCCATTAAGCTGACGGGAGTCGATGCATCTTTCACCACAGGAGAACTGGGCAAATATCTTCAGTACTACAACCACCAGCATAAAGACTATGTGTTATGGTACAACCATGGCAGGCCAGTGCACGCAGATTTTCACCATCGGATTTTGGAGCAAGTTATGAAAGACCAGAAACACAAGTGTGTGGAGAATCCCACAATGAATTGCCATAAACTGCGCGCTTTGAAATCTCCAGCTGAAGTGCAGCTTATGCAGCGCAGTGCAGATATCGCATCAGAGGCCTTTATGGAAACTATGAAATTTTCTCGCCCTATGGTAAGACAGTAGAAATGCTTGTATTTTAACAGTAAATTTCAGGCTGTCAATAACTCTCTTCGATTCGGAGAAATGTATTATAACTATAATTTGAGAACACTGTAAATGTTTAAATTGATGTTGAAGGGAATAGCGTTCCTGATTTTTTAAACACTGACAGATGAGGATATCCGATAGTGAATGTGTTTGTATGTGCCCTAGTTTCTATAAGCTTGTTTTTCATTTCTTTTGATCTCATGGGAACCTGTCGTTACTAGAAATCTAGGTGTGGTGACTGGTGTAAATCTTTTATACTTTGATTTACTTGTTGTGCTTCTACTAATTCTTTTAAAAGTATTTTTGATTTAGTGAACAAACTGTTTACAGCTACCATACACTCTTGAGTATATTTTTTAAAAATTTCTGTTGTTGAGCTTATGTTTTTTATGGGTTTTTTCTTCAGGTTAACGAGGCTCACTTATGGGCAAAAATGGACTTTGAGTGTCGGATTAGAGGGGCTGAGTTTTTGGCATACCCTCCTGTTGTTGCTGGTAATTATTGGCCACTGTTTCAGTGCACGGCTATCTCTTATTCTTAGTTGTTTCAACAAGCATTTTTCAGCTGTTGATTAGGTATGCTCTTGACTTGATGATATGCAGTGGTGTCCTCTTGTATTTCAACTCAATAGAATAAAATTCACTGAATGGGATTTAGAGTGAAGTTGTCTTCTCTGTGTAGGGAAACCTAACAATGACAGACTATCCTTTTAACTATAAGAAAATTCTATGGGGATCAGCAATACTGTGTCAGTGAAATTGTCCCCAGTGTTATCAAAGTAGTGTAATGGTCTGTATGAAAATGTCACATATTTTATTATGTGTTGTTTTTTTTTATGCATCATAAAGACATGTGGTTGAGAAATGTGTTCAAGAGTATTTCTTAAACTGTAACAATTGATCCTAAAACACATTTATTCGATTTTTTTTTCTTAGGAGGGACTCGAGCGAACATCATTCATTACATCACAAATAACCAGGTGATTGTTGATGGTGATTTGGTGCTGATGGATGCTGGATGCGAACTTCATGGATATGCCAGTGATCTCACCCGTACCTGGCCAGTGTCAGGTGAGTGTGAACAGTGTAGGGAAATGAGGGACTTTCCATTCTCTGCAAAAAGTAGATGAATTTCCTTCAAGGCCTGAAGACCCGAAACAGTCGGAGCTTATTCCAATATTGTTTGAGGCCGGCAACTCAGAGCAGTGTCAGGGTGGAACCGGCGGCCAAACTGGAAACCATCAGCTACAAGCCTGCTCAATGCTTGAGGCACTTAGAAGCACATATTGCGCCAGCTCTTGGGTGAACCAGAACTCTACAGGAGCCTGGAGGACCTGCAGCGAACAACAGCATTTGTACTAGAGACCTGGATGTCTATTTAGAGAAAAGTGAGAAGAAGAAGAAGATTGTGTGGGGCCTGACTAGTGAAACAAAGTCACTTCCTTATCCTTGATGGACTGCTAGTTTGAAGCTGATTCAGCCTGCAGTAAGAGCTGAGTGCTGGCTGGAGGTAGAGAAGATCACCCTGAACAGGGACAAGGGGAGAGCTCTTCTTTTCCGCCTGTTTCCAATACTAGGGTGAAAGAGGTGGATGGTGATGAGGAGCTGATTGGCTTTTCATGATTTTTGTTCCCATCCCCAGAAGTTTGATAGTTTAGGGCTGCTATGACTCTGCTTTCAGGGCCAGCAAAAAGACAGAAATACAGTCGAACCTGTGTAAGACTGAATCGCAAGGGAGCCAGAAAAAAAATTATGTCTTAGACACGGGATTTAGTGGGGAGATGGAGGGAGGTTTCAAAGGCCCAGCCGATGGGATCAAGGCAAGGGTCGCTTGCCCGGTCAGCAAGCAGTAGTCAAAACTTCACACCTCTCAACTGCTATCATCTATGATAATGGCATGCATTAGTCTTACTTATCTATTGCCTCCAGTGCTTGCTTTTCATAGGACCACTGTTTGACCATTGCCTCCAATGCTTCCACCATTAGCCCCACGCATTGGTGTAACAAGCACAGTCAACCAATGCCACCCTTCACTGCCATGTAACAATGATTCAAGGTGCTCTTTTCCTTGCTGGCCGTGCGATCAGGGCGGCAGGCATTGGTCAAATTAATTTCTCACTTTTGGCTTCTGGCTACCCAGGAAAGTTTCCGCGGTGGCTCTCTACTCAAGCCCTTTCACTGGTATGCGTGAGATTTCACACCCACACCACCCTAACCATCTGCATCGCTCGGGGCTCACATAGAATCATAGATGGGGTGATAACCTGGGTACCTGGAGGTGTCATCTCTGACTCAGATGTAGATGGATAATGACCCGCCATCTTTCACGGTCGCGAGCTGCTGTTGCACATTCTGCCATATCCAGGCCAGTCCATGTTCTTATGATGTCCTTTCATCTTATTCTTTTCCTTCCTGTGGCTCTCCTGCCCCACATCTTTCCTTCAAGCACCTCTGTCACAATGGTCTCTTGTCGTTTTAAGTGGCCATAATATTTTCTACGTTTTTTTTGTTCAGCAGGGTTTGTTTTGTGTGTAGAATCTGACACATCTCTTTGTTTGTTTTTTTTGTTTTCCAACTTACTCTGGCCATTCTACGGTAACATCACATCTCAAACGCATTTATTTTGTTTTCTTCTTTCCTTGTCAAAGTCCAGGTCTCTGCGCCATATAACATCTACCCCCAAATTGCACCCATCTCCCCTTCTTTGCCCGGTGGCATGGCGTTAAGTTTAGAGCCGGTGGAACCCGACTTGTGAGTTTTGTTTCAAATCAGGGCTGAATGGGCAAAGCATTTTCCATCTTAGACAAGTGAAACCCTCGGAAGGGAGGGGATTTTCCTTTACGTTTCCACGTTGGACAAGTTCCCGTTTTATACAGGTAATTAAATAGGAATGTATCAAGGGGGGGAGCGGGGAGATTCAGTTAAGACAGGTTTCCGTTTTATACAGTTTTCAGTTAAGGCAGGTTCGACTGTACTCGATAGAGACTTTCCCTCTAAGCGAACTAGTGTCTTTTGCAAGCAATGGTGAAAAGCCTTACCACGACATCATAGATACATAAAGCTAACTGCCAGCAGCAGCCAGTGATGCTGATTCACACTTTGGTTTTTAATGGGGACCTACTGCTTTAACTCATTCAGTGCTGAGGGAAAACTTATTTACTTCCCTGCTGTGCTGAACATTTTCTGAGTTAATGGGTTAGGTTGAGGGTTTATTTGAAAAAAGATTATAGTAAATAAAATTCTTCTTCTATTATCACATTTTTTTCTACTGCTTATTCATAACTGAATGTAGTGTCTTGTGATTCTGTTAACTTTTATGCCTGTGGGTGTATAAATTTAAAAATAGCTGTGATGTTTGGATCGAGATCTAATTGTGAGCCTTGGGTAGTGGGAGAAGTATTTATTATTGTAAGTGCATTTCCCTTTGACATTATGTTCTACCCACTAGAATTTCTGCTAGGGTAGCAGATAATGAAGTCTTTTCTTCTTTCCATAGACATATGTCACACCTACATAGCAAAAAAAACCCCCCAACTTAATGGGTGGTTGGCAGGTGCTCTGGTGCGGTTTGCTTTTTCTTTCCTTTCAAACATTATCTCTCTTCCTTTTTTGCATTTGTTACTCTCTTGTAACACTTTTAATCTTTCACACTTATATGACCTAATTGTCTTTGCAGGTGGTGTAAAACTCTTACTAAAACATAAGAAAATCCCAACTTCTTTATTATACCTTTGTTTTCCTCTTGTAGGCAAGTTCACCAAACCCCAAAAGGAGTTGTACAATGCAACGTTGCGAGTTCAGGAAGCCTGTATCAAACTGTGCACCAACCAGTACTCCCTGGATGAACTCTTCCACGAGATGCTGCTGCTATTGGCAGAGGAACTGACGCACCTGGGCATCATCGCCGCTGAGAGCTCTCCTGAAGAAAAACTGCAGGTACGTGAAATGAAATGGAGGCTGAAGTGGAGGTTTGTTAACTCTTTATCTCCGAGGGGAGTAAACCCACTGTGCCAGGGCAGTCTTTTGGTACAAAATCTAAAAGTGACATGTATGGCACTAAATTGATCATCAAATCACAACAAGTGAACATACTTTGAGAGTTTGTAATCTAATGAATGAACACCCGGTTAAAGCGACTTGTTTTTGGCAATTACCGAAAAGTAATTTGACGTTGAAGCTGTTGTACAGGAATGTGCGCCCGAGCCGTTGCCAGCGGCTCACCGGCACAGCAGTTCTGACCGCAAGCCGCTGGAAGTTAACTCATTCAGTATTAATAACAGGAATTTTGGAAAATTGGGAAAACCACCCCCCACCCCCTTTCCTCCCAAAATGTGCGCACCCACACACGCGCGCGCGCGCATGCACGCACGCATTCACACATGGACGCACACACTCCACGGCTGTTACCGACCGCCAACTTAGTCAAACCGCCAGCCCGCGGCACTCCCCGTAACCCGATACTCTGTGACCCCGGTCACCGGGTCAGCGCCGCCGGTTCACTGCCGATGCCGAGTTACGGTTGTTTTCTTATCACACGATGTTTTTTAAGCATATAAACTGAGACAGTAAACAAAAACTATTCTAGTGATCTCACAGAAAATCACACACACTGAACGATCAATATAGTGTGGGCACGTAGAAGCGATCGTGAAACTGTACTGGGTACTGTTGCAGACATACGGATGCCATAAAACTGTATAGCAATTATGCAAAGTTGTAAAGGGGTCTGATGTTTTAAATAAAAATTGAACATGATCTTTGCTTTTGATTTTGACAAAATTAAGGAAATATGATGAAAATAGGATAAAGTAAACACTCACGTGGTGGCATCATTGTACGCTCCGTCAAAGCAAAGATATTGAAGCTTGAATGCAGAATCACAGAAAATTAGGATCCTTGATGTTTCTTTTCTGGCCTTTATAAGTTTTGTGAGTAGTATGGGTTGTCCTCTTGTTTTGCACTGAATCGTATTGGTACTTGAATTTTTTAATTTTCTCCTAACTAAATGAGTATTACGTTTTTTTCTTCTTTTGTTAGTGGTCGCGTTGGGGAGATCTCTAGAGACTGAGAGAAGAGTTTGTCGTGTTTAAATGCTGAAGAGGTGCTGCTATCTACCATTAGCTGTGTAGGTTTGGATGGCGTGGATGTAGCAATAGGGAGACTTGAGGTGTTGCTATCTACCATTAGCTGTGTAGGTTTGGATGGCGTGGATGTAGCAATAGGGGGGAGTTGAAGCTCAAACTCACTGTGGCCTGTGGTTGATGATGCAGCGCTAGTATCGAGAGATGCGATGTCTTCGTCCTGTCTTTCTTCATGACTAGTATTGTCCTCTGTGTGTGTAGATGGCTCTGCAGTTTGAGTTACTTGTTGTGTTTGCCGAGTCTTCAAACGAAGATCTATGTGGTGAATGTGTTGTTTTTGTAGCTTCTGATGTTTTCGTTGTTACTAATTCTATTGGAGTGTTCTTGCTCCCCATTGATGTGCGATGATAGTGTGTGCATATCGAGCAGTCACTAGCGCGTATATCAGACAGAAAAGCTGTCCACAAATTTGAGGAGGTTTCAGCTGCTTTTCTTGCGTTTATTATAGTTCCCTCAAACGAATGGGTCCTACTGCGCTTTATCTTGTTGGTACAGGCATAACATATCGTCAAAGAATGTTTACTCCTTTCATCAACTGCTATCGTAACCCCAAATACCAAGATATCGTGTGCAAAGTCAATGCATTTGTACGCTTTTCTCTTTTGCAATTTCTGTTTTCCTGATAGACTTCTACCACCACATGTTCTACAAAGTTCATGAATATACCGAACATGGGACGCTTCATCATGGCACTCCATTAGGAATATTAATGTTCCAATACTCCACAGCAAAAAAGCAGAAGAAATCCAAACAAGGCGAACGAGGATGGGGTACTTTCACACTCCAAGGTCTACACAAAATCGGTCACTATGAATCACACAGAATACGTACAATGTTCTCTTTTCCTCATGTAACTCAGTACTATTTTCTCAAGAGTAATCAAGGAGAAAAAATTTAATTGTGGGCTCAATTATTGAGAAAAATGACTTTAAATAAAAATAAATAGATGCAAGTTGCTTTAAAAGTAATAAAGGATAGAGTGCATTTCTCAGCAAGCAGGATTAACACTAGTGAACGCACACAAGAGAAAATTATATCGTCTTGTCGGGTTGAAGTAGCCCTTTAAAATGAGACCCCACATGGAGACATCGCATCTTTAGATCGGGAGATATTGGGGATCAAATTAATCGAAAATGACTGGACTCAAGTTTCCTGGGCACGGCCGAGGCATGCCGGGAGTGCCGCTGCCGTCACGGTACCTTGCACGGCTGACAGCTGATTTATTACCGTCTCGGGGTGGTCGGCGGGAAACCCTTGCCCGGTAACTAAACTGGCGGTTTTGGGGCGATTTAGACAGCCGTGACTCACGCACACTCATGCCACACACTAACACATACGGTACACATACTCATATACATGCACACACTCAAACACATACACATGATCAATGTTTTCACATTCTGGTGGTCACTGTTTGTCTTGAGTTGTCTTTGTTAAGCCTGGGGGTTCCGACTAGTTTTGTAAAATTCTGTGTCATATTTATTTTGTTTTCAAAATGTTGCTTTACGATTGTTTGAACTGGTTTGATTCTTACTTTTGTGAACATAGATTGTGGTTTATTTATTTTTATTTTTAAAATCTAAGATTTTTCATACTTCCTGTTCCCAGGATAGAGAAAGATAGAGTCTAGAGAAAGCAATGACGAAGAGAGAGAGGGGGAAAAAAGCAATAGACAGAGAGAGAAAGCGGGAATGAAAGGAAAAAAAGAAAGAGAGACCGATAGATAGATAGATAAACCCATACGCTGACAGGCAGTGCACTGATTTTGTTCCTGGACTTATTGAGTCCGTATGCTTTGTGTGTATGTGTGTGTGAGTAGTTTGTCAAAACAGTGACGTGTGAGGCAGCGTGATTTTTTCAGGCGCTTGTCAAAACAATGAAGGGGAAGAAACTGGCATTTTCCCGCAGGTTTGGGAATTTTTATTGCAATTTTGTTTTTTGGCTTCACACCTTTCATGTCCATTGAAGAACATATTTCTGTGTGTATTTTACTGAAAATCGTTGCTTAAAGGCCCAAAAAATGTAAATTTTCAGTTTTAATGGACTCTCCAGCTAAGGAAATAACAGAACTTTGGCAACCAATTTCTTGCTAATTTTACCTCTGAATAGTCTGAAACCAGGCGACACCTACCTCCTTCAATCGTCAATATTTCAATTTGTATCGAAGATGAATGGATATTTTTCATTGAAAGCAAGACAAATGAACAAGCTTTAAGGTGTACTAACAAGTCTACGCGCCCGAAAATTGACGAGCGCCTGATTCCGCCGCGTCGTGACACAAAGGATTTCTCCACTTGTTTGTGCAATGCTGTGAGTGTTTGTTTCCCTCTTGCAGCTGGCCCGTAAATTCTGCCCCCACCACGTGGGTCACTATCTGGGTATGGACGTCCACGACACCAGCACCATGTCTCGCAAGGCCAAGCTGAAGCCCAACATGGTCATCACTATTGAGCCTGGTAGGTCAATGGTAGTGGGAAATTGTACATGTATTAGAATTATTAGATTTTTCTCCCTCTTCAACATAACTTAGTTCCACTTGACAATTCTCTGAAAAGACATGAAGAAGACATTAATTTTTTTGGGTCTAAATCTAACCACGCTTTCCACATTTCCCTTCTGAAATAATTCCGTGCAAAGTCGTTTTTGTAAAGCAAGAGAGATTGAAAATGGATGCCTAGAAAGTTTAGATCAAATGATATGTAAACATCCACTTCATGTACTGCTATTATACAGGGCCTGAACACCAGCTTATTATTTGTTTGGAGAAATAATGCAGAATTTAAACAGAATCTAAGATGAAAGCTGCAAGACTGATTTGAAATATGTTCATCCTGTATGTCGTCCGTTGGTGCCCCACTCTTTGCTGCAACAGGCGTCCATCTATCTTCCCTGCTCTCTGCTTTGGTGTACCACTTTATGAAGTTGTAAACAACTGTCAGATTTTATGTTTTCAGTGAATGATGTAAGATGTCTGCCTTTATTTATCTTTGCTCTGCAGCACAGTTGTCATCAGGTCTGTTTTTATCTTTCTGTTTACACGAGGAAGGCATTTGTGTCTTCTTTTGCTGCTGATCTTAGAAAGCATACTACACTGTGTATGAAGTTATTTCACTACACTTTCATTTCTTCTTTAATCTGTCTATTTTTCTTATTTTTGTGTCTGGGATTTTTCTGTTGTCATGCTTACTTTTATCCTTTAATTGCAAGTAAAACCCAATAACGTGCTCTTTCGTTCATTTCATTTCATGTACTTCTCTGAAAGATTTGAAAACTTTCTTCCATTGGCAGGAATTTACATCAGAGAAGATGACTTTACCGTCAGTCCAGAGTACAGAGGCATCGGTATTCGTGTTGAGGATAACATTTTGATCACAGATTCTGCCCCGCTCAATCTGTCTGCCTCCTGCCCTAAGGAAATAGAGGAGATTGAGGGCATAATGGCCGCTCGTGCTTAGGTCTGTCAGGTTTCTAGTAAAAGTCAAGTAGCCCGTAGCCTACCCCCCATCTCAAAACCAAAACGGCAAGACCAAGGTTGAACATCTAGGGTCACCATGGAGGTCACAGGGGAGGTCACTGTGGAGGTCACCCTGAAGGTCACTGTGGGGTTCCAGCCATGTCTTGTTACAGTAACAGGAAACAGCAGACTGCGATCGTCGTGACGCACAAAGAAATCAGGAGTTGTACGGTACTTTACTTTTTTCACTGTCTTCAGCAAGATGAAGAGAAAAGAGGAGATAGAAAGCATATATACGTGTCCTGTGTCCAGAGAATTGAGGAGACACAGAAGAAGGAATCTTTAAGCTCCCCCCCCACAAAACGGAGTGGAAGGAGTGCATCTTTTTCCACCAATAGCAGTGGGGATACAGAGCAAATCTATCTGTGATTTTTCAATGTTCAGCCATGTAGAATTGAAGATGGTCCCATCAGTTCACTAGAGTTGGGTTGCCTTCATGTGACCCAGTTGGACTTTATGCAATATCCTCCTACCTGACATTTTTCTCCTGCCATTTTGCGTTCTTGGATTCCCTTTGGTCGTGCAACCCATTCCGTAGGATCTTGTCAGACCGTAATGGGACTGGAATGTGTTGTTTGAAGCTGTCTGAGTTTGGGGGATATGTGTGTTATGTGTACATTATGCGTTAGGCTACGGGACTTGTAATCGTGAGGTTGCGGGTTTGGGGGTTCGAGCCGCGGGCCTGGCGTTGTGTCCTTGGGAAAGGCTCTTTGCACGAATTTTCCTCACTTCACCCAGGTGGAAATGGGTACCTGGCCATAGAGAGTGAAAGATCTTGTCTGTATGTTAGTGTTTTGGCGCCTTCAAATGGTCTCTTGCACTGTATGCTTCCCAGGCAGTTGAGGTTGTTTCAGAATGCTCTCAGGTCTGCTGGGGTAATAGTATAGAGTGTGAAGCTTGTTGAGCGGGGATTTGCGCAATATAAATGCTATCTATTATTTTTATTATTATTACATGATGTATACATGATGCATGTCTGGTCACCAGGCTGTAGCAACTTTGGGTAGAAGGACATCTGGTCATATTGAGAATCGGTCTTTTTTTTTGTGTGTGTGTGGTTATTTTATTTATAAGTTTGATTTTGATTGTTGATATATAATTAAGAATTGGTGGATGGGGAGTGAATAAGGATTTTTTTTTTTTATGTAAAAAAAATTTCTTTGTTTACTTGTTGATATATGACGAGGAATTGGTTTGGGGAGGGGAGGGGGATGGAGGAGGGGTGTGGAGAATAAGGCTTTTTTGTGTTTGTTTAATACAGTGGAATCCTGTTGTAACGAGAGGGAGGGGACTGGTGTCAAATGTCCACTATAGCAAGATTCTCATTATAAGGGACCCAGTAATAAATTCAAGGAAAATAGTAAAGTAGGCCTAATCTATGAGTCTGGTTTTCGGTTTATTTCTTTTTGTAATTTCCCCTGAGGATGATTTGGTTCAACATGACCTTTAAGTCTTACTTGATCAAAAGTTGAATCAGGTTTCTTTCTCAAACGCTAGCGATATTGACAGCTCGGCGTTGGCGATCAGAAAGAAAGTTCTCTAGGCTAACTCGCCTGCTGTGTTGTCCCCCACCCCACCACACCCTGTGGGGCGTTCCGTCTGCTTGCGAACAAAGGAAACATACCACACCCCGCCCACGTCACACATTCACTCCGTCCATCACAGTACAGCACTATGACCTCTCCATCCCTGCATCGGTGAAGTGAGAGGCATGGTAGACCTAGATAATTTAGACTAGGCTGGCCTATCACACGATGCGTTCTGCTTGTCTGTGCATGCCACACTCTCCCCACTCATTCAATCAGGCCTTCATTGTTGGCACTCGTGGGCTCTCCCATTCTTTGTTTCGCTAGATCACCAACAAGTTTCTCAACTGGCGAGGTTTTACATTAATAAATAGCCTTTGCGCTGTGCACAACAGCAGCTGTATTACGGTACAACCGACTCCCGTGTTTGTCCGATTGCGCTATAGCAGTATTTTATTTACAAAGATAAAGAAGGGGGAAAAACGGGGTTTTAGAATTGTGTCTTAATAATAGACTTCTGGTTGTTTGAGGACTCGTTATAAGTGGATTCCACTGTACTTGTTTGTTTGTTTGTTGATGTATGACTAGGGAGTGGTGTGTTGGAAGAGTACATGGCTTTTTTATGTTCGTTTATTTGTTTGTTTGTTTGTTATGTATAACAAGGACTTATGGATGGGAAGAGAGAGCAAAGATGAGTAAAGGTCTCTGGTTATCTAATGTATGCATGTGCACTGTGGATGGTTGATGAAGCTATATATAT